TCTCTCTCCAAAGGCCATACACAAAATAATTGTCCAAACGCACTTCAGAACTACACTCAGGGTGCAGTTGTAAATGCTTTTGTCTGTGTATAGATACACACAAATAACCATTCCTTTTATCTGAGCGTACCAGAGGGATTTATGTATTTTCCATGCCATAATTTTATGGTTCGTAGCTGGTTTATATACAATCAAATATATTAGCATTATCACTGAAAACATTCCAATGCAAGAAATACCATTCTTCTGCTCCCATGGTGCTTTCAATGGATTTTCAGTGAAGTCTCACAAGCAACACACTCCCACCAGCACAGGCTTCTTAAGTAAGCACAACACCCACCCATTCAAATCCCCTCCCAAGCCAGGGTAAGCCTTGTTATCTTCCCCTCTGACCACATGCCAACACTTCGCAAATTTAGCCAGCAGTGTGACCGACCTCTTTCCTCCCTTTGCATCCTACACAAAGTCCACCCAAAGCAAAGTCCGTTTCAACAGGAACACTCAACAGTGCTTTGGCTGCACCCATAACCAGCAGATGCTGCTGCGCCCTGCCAGTGAGGAAAACACATTTTAATGAGAATTATGAGCTTCATCAAGAGAGGACTGATTGGGTACTACTAAGATATACAAAGAATTAAGTCATCAATTGCAGCAGGTTTTTTAAGTTCTACGTCCTATCAAAGTTGGACAAAATTCAAGCAAGAAGTAGGCCTCTTCTCTTGAATCAGGTGTAAGTAACAACTCTGTGTATACTGCAAAGCAATCCCCCTTGATCAATGAAATATTTTCCTAAGAAGTGAAAAATCACTAAAGTGCCTCAGATTGAGTCTTATTTTTAAAATCAGTCTAATTAAACAGAGTGGTGAGAGGAAACGGTAGATATAGTGAATAAAAAAGGACCTTGCTCCTTACCTCATCTTTAGTACTTGTCTTCTTTATCAAAGCTGTTTGAATGTCTTCTCAAAACAGAATTTCCTTTAATTTTCAGAAGATGAACTATGTCTTTGCACTTATGTTTTTAATATTGTATTAATTACCATGGGTACAATTTTGAAGATTGTATCTACATATCAGGGACAACATAGTTGCACTTAAAATTTGTCAGCAGTGCAATAGCTTGCCCTAATTTTAGATTATCAGCTCTGGAGACCTGCTCAAAGAGTAAGACTGACAGACTTTTTAATGGAGAAAATGTGAGTTCCCCCGGGATCCATACTTTTTTCTGATTCAGTAAGAAATCCCAGTGGCATTTGCTGAAAGGATCCCAGGATGGAAAATGACATCTCTCTAAGAATTACTGCTTCATATTCTGACGCAAGTCTTCCAAATATACTGTCCCTCCACAGACACACTTGCTATCTCTTCAGGTATTTTAGCAACAGGAGAATGAAATGCCTACTTTGAATGCTCCAGTCCAGTACTGTGCCAAATTGGAATGAAGGAGCATGAATCTATATAAATAGATAAATTATCCACCCGAAACATGTCATTTAAAATTGAGATGCTGACACAGCCTTAGCTATAGTACTGTTATGCAGAGGCTGCATCATTTTTCAATTAAATATCCTTGTTTCTTCTTCCAGAGAAACCTCTGGAGAAATGTCTCATTTGAGGGCAGACATAGACAGAAAGTGACTCTGTCTGTCGGCTCCCAATTAAAGGCTAGGCAAGATGGATTGGAGGCACAGCCATCGCCTAATAGAGATCAGATATCAACAATGATTTACGCAGCCAGATAGATACATATTCAAGTGGGGGAAAAAAATAATTCTAACAGCCTAGGAGACATTACTTTTCCTACTCTGTCACCACTCACTATTCATCTACTCCTCAGATTCCCAGGTCCTGCTCCTTCCTGTGTTCTCCTACTTCACCGTGGCCCATCCAGTCATGCTTGAACCAACTCGTCTTTCATCCACTTCATTCTGTCACACACCTTTCATCATACTGACCTGCCATTTTTTATTCAAACACACTGATCTATCTTTCTGGATTCCAGATCTTATTTATTTTAGTAGAAATATGTATCTGTCTTGCATTACTCCTACCTCTCATGCACCTCTTCCTTCCCAGGCACACTGAAGGATCAGTGTCAGTTTGCCCTCAGAAATCTTCAATGAAGCAAGATTGTTTCCTTTCCATTTTCCAAACAGCAGGTACAGAATTCACCTGCAGCAATATACCATACACTCTGTATACATCAGGATACCAAAATCTGCAAGAGACAGTCCTAATGAAAAGTAGATCTCCCCTTCCCAGAAACATTTCAGGCAAAGATGTTTCTGGTGGGAGGAGGAGAACTCCTCAATCCTCACTACTTTGGCCAAGGACCGACCAAGAGCAATTTGACAATTTGCTTCTAGAACAGCTCCACAGCTGGAGGCTAATACCCTCATCATGATATAAGACATGTGGGTCAAGGATCTTAAAACTTCTAATCCTGCTGAGTACCCTCAGCTCCTATGGTTATTAATGAAATCTGAGGATGTTGAGCCTTATTAATGAAATGATCAACCTCCTGCACAGAGGGTTGGTATCTTCGCTTCTCCTAGCGCGATTTCCTCATAGGAATTTTTGGTCCTAAAAATGTTATTTTATTTAAAGCAGGAATTCAAAAATCTTCTGGGTCCTATTGAAAGAGATCTAAAAGATCCTGCCTGTCTGAAGAAAAGAAGTTTCTGCTTGTCAGTTAAACAAAGGAATAACGCACAGCCTCCTTTATAGTGTGTACTTTACCTGTCATCCAACAGCCCATTATCATGTCACGGCAGAGTGCACTTTTCTACAGGTCACTTTGTTTAAAATGACATGGATAATGCACATGTCAGCGAGCTGACAGTCCCGACCGTCCTTCAGAGATAAAAACCGCAAGACGAGCGCCTGTTCTTATCTGGGGTACATGCCTTGGTCTATCATCTAAGTCAGGCAGAACATGATTTCTCCAGAGAGCACTTTTTTCATTTCCTGATTTTAAGAAAATCAAATAAGCACCATTTGTCTTCATCTGAATATGCTTGACCTGCTCAAATGATGATGTCTCGCATTTTATAACAGGCTACATATGCTGAATTCAAATTAACAGCAGAACAAGGCCTTTAGATCTTTGCCTAGGCTGCCAGCACAGGCTGAATAAATATGCCAGGGTTAGCTGTCATCTTTTAGAATTGGGCCTGAGCTATAAAGCTCAAACCTGGGTCTGTTTCTGAGATTTGAAAAGCACTAAACTATTAGGGATATTTGAATCCGCACTTAATCTCACTTCATTAGGAGGGAAGACAAAATAGAGATCACACAGATGAAAAACACATCTGGATTTTGAATCCTTCCCGCACAAGTACTGGGATACTCTGTCTGAGGTATAATCTTGAGGCTCTCTTGTATTGTGTTGCGGAAACTATCCTGAACCAGCAAACCACCACTAGCCCCAAAAAGCTGCCTCTCTGCCATTTTATACAGGACTGCTGTAAGAGAAAAAATACTGTGAAACTGGCAGAGGTTTAGCTCTGCAAATGCAGTAGTGGCAGGAAATTACACTTCTAGTTTTGGGTGCCATAAACATAGGAGCTGAAATTCAGTTTATCATCTTCCACCGCATAAGGAACATCCTGAAAATGAATAATCACTTCACAGGATGGAATGTAATGGTAATGCATTAAAAATTCATATCTAAAAGTGCAGGTTAATATTCTGTGCAAAAACCCAACAAAACCTCCCCTTTCTGTTGTCACACTGATTAACTCCAGTGATTAGTTCCCTTATGAAAGGGAAATCACTGCAGTTCAAAGTAAACAGTGGTTCTTTAACATAGTTAGCAAATTATTAAGAAACATGAGGAAAAAAATCTCTACTTGGGAAATTAGTGAAAGAGCTGAAGGGCAAAGCTTTGGCGGTTATATACAGAATGGTTTGAAAATTTCCTTTGCTTCCTGCTACACAAATGCTGTAGAAAACTGATTAAATTCATGAAAAGAGATTTCGGTATTCATTGCTTCCTTGTAGATTTTACAACATATTTACTCTTTTCTGTTGTATAAGCTGCATACCAGCATGGTCATCCCTCTTCTTGGCTGGACTTGGAGCTAGTTAACAGAACTACTCACGAAACTCTAAACAATTCAATGTCATTACATGAACGATATTTTCTGACATTACTTTACCCTCCCCCAACTTCCATCAGCCAATTTATCCAGTGAAAGAGGAGGCAAAAGTGATTACATTATCAAAACATCCCTTAAGGTTCAACATGCAAATGAAAATCACAAAATCCAACCTGGAAATAAAGAAATTAGACCAGTTTTGCTGCGATGATTATTTCATTTTTGCCAAGACGGTAAATGTTAGTCTGTTTACAACATAAGAATGTGCATCAGTGTGAACACTAGTTCTTCATTAGTCTTCTAAACAATAAACAGCATTAGAGATCAGTGCCTGACTTTTTCAGCATGACATTCTTCTCTTTTTCCACTTAGAAACCCAAAGTTATTGAGATAATTATCAGCAAGTTGTGTCACTTGACTTAATGTACAGTTCTCAAAAGTTTTTTCTAAACGAATGGATATATATATCTCAACCATAACATTTCAGTTTAAGTTTGAAGACCCTTGCCTGCAGAGAAGCAAACAAGGCAATAATAGTGGTTAAATAACTGTTGAAAAGTGCAAATGTGAGGCTTACAAACATTCGGTTGCTGTTAGAACTTCCCAAGGGAAAATGTAGCCATAGAGAGGGTTGGTAGTGAGACTGGTGTTCATAAACAACCCACACAAACCATGGCTTCAATATTCTTAAAGATTAATTGTGTAGCCTCCAAAAATATTCATTAGAATTCTCCTTCCTTGGAGGCCTATTCCAAATTAAATTAAACAAAGTCTTTTCCTTATATAGAGATACTTTAGATCAATCCAAAAAGAAACTCTGAATAAATAACAGAATAAGAGGAATAAGTTAATCCAACAAATACAACAAATTATTTTTACTCCCATACTGATTTCCTTTCTTACCTTTTCTTCTTGATCACTGTCACTGTCACACTGAAAAATAAAGAGAAAAAAAAAAACAGGTAAGAGAAACTTGCTAGAGCTAAAAAAGGAAAGATTTCTATGAACAAGATAACTGAAACACTCCTAAACCCCACAGCATCAAATCTGGTACCTCTAGGAAAAAGCTCAGTTACTGTATGGGCAGGAATTTTCCCCCCATGCCGTTGTTGAAGACAATACATTTGTACATTTCAATTATGAAAAAAAATCGCACTGAAAGCCACAAAAGCCTTTTGCAATGTCCTCTGTTAGTTTAATTCACATGCACAGGACCTGAAGGTCCATGAGCACATTTAGACTCCAAAGCTGGATCAGGGAAGAAGAAAAACAGTATTAGAGGGCTGTTTTGGGTTTTTTTGATTGACAGAATTTTTCACAGTCCTTGCCAACACAAAGGCCCCTCAGATAGGCGGGTATGGAAGTGGCTTATGTTTGCCTGCCCCAGAAGAGAAGCGTTTGCAAGGCTGCCATTTTCCAGGGCTACTTGGAGGGTTCACCCTGTGTCTTTGCTTACCACTGCTGAACTAAAGACTTCAGAGATCACACCGGAAAGGAGAACATGTCAAATTAATTTATTCATTAAGATTCTCTGTAATTCAAGAGTAGCCCAGATATCACAGGAAACATAACACCATAAAATGCTGAACAGTAACACTAGCGGGTCTTGATATTTATCAAGTGCCATTGCTCATTTTTTCAATAACTTTTACTACTATAGAAATACAGCAGGACTACATGAATCAAGCTTCAGTACAGATAAGCATCAGAAACCCCAAACACGTTTACATTTGCTCGAAGTACAAAAGCTGTGCTGGAAATAGGACTGTAAGGGCCACGCAACTCACTTGCACGCAGCCACTTCTCTCAGACACAGATCTGATTCATCCCACCTAATATTCTGGGTAACTATGGAGTGGTCACACTTGGCTACCTCTACAGCAGAAGAATGAGGAAAACACCTCCTCCTGTGGTGTTTTGTTTGTTGTTTTTTTTTTTTTCTTTAAATTACAATTTTAGATTCTAGGGGAGTGAATTGTCTGTATCATTCAAGGATGAACTCATAGCTCTGCAGATCTAATGGCAGATGTTTCAAAGGAAAGCATAAGATCACCAAACAGGAGAACCAGGCTCTCCTAAATCGAGGACCAGCTGACTGTGCTATGTTGTAACAGCTGTCAGTTAAGCCCTTCATGCATTTGTATGCCATTTAATGTGGCTTTGAGTATTTTCAACCAAATTGCTTTGAAATTAGTTACACTTTGTGAATTCCAAAGGTTAACTATACAGTGGGATCTGCATAGACATAGCCAAATACACCCACAAATCTATGTATGTGATTTGCACAAATCAAGTCATCTTCTGTGTGTTCTTTAATTATAACTTTTCTTTTTCACTGGCTTCTTCCTCATCATCACTGGTACAGTGTGGTGAGCTACGTACTAACAAATTAAAGCTAAGAACTATTTCTAAGTATTTTCCACATAATTTTAAATACAGTGAAGATTAGATAAAATTAGAATCTGCTTTCAGATAATTTCAGATAGAAATGGAAGTGAAATGTATTTAATAACTGAAATGATTTATGTAACACTAGTTGCACCTAAATATCCTGGTAACAAACAAATGAGAGGGAACACTGAGATATGAGACAGTTTTTTAGCTTGAATTTTGAAACCTTCATGCCATGATCAACTTAGTGCGGAGAATGGAAGGAAGGAAAACTGCATGTTTCTAGAACAGTAAGGTATTTATATAAAGTATTCGTACCCTTACCCCGTAAATATTATGCATTTTGACTTCAGTGTGACAAGATGTATGAGATTGTGGTATAAGGGTGAGCATAGTTAAGTATGTTTGCAAAGCAAGGCCCTACATTTACAAAAAAGCAAACATTCACATGGATTTTCACCCGTTGTAATCACAGCATGTCACAAAGATTTCCATTTTACAGTTGTTGGAAAAGTTCAACTTTGGGGCTACAGCGCTTTCTTCCACTGCTAGGTTACAGCCAGGGGGGCCCAGCGGTTCCAGGGTCCCTGCACCACGTGCTCTATAGGCATGGATGCATTCTGACACATCTTACATGTTCCAAAACAGGGAGCTCACAACCATTTGCTCTATTTATTTGTGTCCCTTGCCCACCCTCCAGACAAACTCCAAGTCCTGACTATAATACCTGGATCCAAAAGGAGAAAGGAAGGGGCTAAAAAGTGGATATATAAGCAGGCAAGAATGATTCCTTTTTAGCAGCATGGTTCAGAGGCTCCTACTGCTGGGGCACATGTGCCTGTATCCTGTGACCCAGCTGTGGTCACACTATTTTGCAGCCTCTCCTTCCCTAACCATTTTTTTGTCTGGTTTAAGGAATCTCCTGCGCTACAGATTAAGTTTTTTCCCGACTCATAAGCTTGGAAAGAGCTCAGGGTTTTGTGTTTTCTGCAGTGTGGAGGTACTTGGGGAGAAGAGTACTTGCCAGCAGTGACATCTGAATATGCCAGCAAAACAGTTACCCGCATCCGAGTGAATCTGCAGAGAAAGTGCACAGAACGATGTCGGTGGGAAGTTATTTCCATCAAAGTGTTAAGCCTCCTGCTTTCCGACAGTCCAGTTCTAATTTCAAGGTCCGCTTAATTCCACATCAAATAATTACTGCTATACCCAGAAGCACCTTGTCTCCAGAGTTAAGCATATGGCGAAGGACTGAGACCTACTGGTGTCCATTATGGAAGCAGCACGGATGCCAAGCCGATTAAAAATGCTCAGGCTCCCTTCACAACATGCCCAGTGACTGACAGCTTCGCGATTTGGCCAGTCACTGTGGCTGCCAAAAAAGCCTCTGCTGCACAGAGGCCCACATGGCACTCTGAGAAAACAGTTCCATTCCTGGTATTAAATTCCCATACTGACCCGAGGACTTTGCTGTGAGCTCAGCAGGAGCACACCATCCAATTTACAGCTCCATCCTCCAGAGCCCTCAGTGCCAGCCTCTGGCAGAGACGAATGATGGTCAAACCCCTCCAGCTCATAAATTATGCAAAGGCAATAAATGCACTCAGCAAACAGCTCCTAACGTTTGCCTAGCCTGGCTCCAGATACACTTTGTAAAATGCCAGGAGTCCTGCACACACAAGGCATCTATTTCACTCATAAAGAGGTTTTGTTGGTGGGGCACGAGGGAAGGAGACCCACCATCCAGCAGCGCTGTCCCGTTCCAATAGCAGAATTTTATGGACAAGCTGTATGAAAGAAAAAAAGGAAGGCCAGGAGGAAAGGGCTTTATGTACTGCACTGGGGTTATATTTACATGCAGTACGTATGTGTGTGTGTAGGCATACACATTGCACGTGTACATTTTGCACATCTACGTTAAGCTGAATTTTCCCTGAGGATTAAACACATGGATTTCCTCTGGTTCATGGAAAGAATCAAACAATTTATGTGCAGGGCTAACACCAAAAAGACTTGCAGAAGCAAGAAGAGGTTCACTGCTCAGTCTGGAAATTGAATTGGAGCAACTGTATGTTCTTCCCATGACTGAGACTGCTGTTCAGGCACTCCAAGCATTGCACTTGTACACACATTCCCCAGTGGCCCTTGCTCTGATATGCTCATTTGCATTTTTGGATGCATTTTCTTCCCAGAGGTGCTAAAGCACAAGGTGTTTCCATCTTCTGTAGGCTTACTGCTAACCATTTCTGGAGAACAGGTTTTGGAAACCAAAGCTGACAACCGTGAAGTTGATTATTCAGAATTACTGGTCAATTTGAAGACTTCAGTCTTGCTCAATTCCTCAATTCCTCTAGCATTTCTCTACCTCCCAAGGCCATAGAAAAAAAGTAAAATGATTTAAGTGCTTTGTGGTTCTCAGCGCACCAGACTGTTTTGGAATTGAAGTGATGCATATGATTTGTACTGGCCTTCTGCTTTGGGCTGAATTTCAGTATTTTGTGCCTATTACAAAAAAGATAGTTTTTCAGTGTTCTCCTATGTCTTGTTTCAGGAAATCATGGCTCTGTGCACACACTGCATCAGAATATTCTGAAAATAACTGGGAATCCAAAATATAATTCAGAGATAGCATGACCTGATTTTGGATAACTGCCACTAGCTTCACTGGAAGCTGTGAGTGATAATATGACAAATCAGGACAAGGAGGCTGCAGACATTTTACACCTGAACAAACAGAGGCTTCTTTCTCTGATTCTCAGGCTCAAGGCACTTGCTGTCTCCACACTGAACACAAGTCATGACAGATTACAGTCACCTGGGGCCAGGCTTGAGAAGAGCCCAGTTTCTAAAAGCTGGACTACATTATCAAAAACCCACCCACCCAGCCAGCCCTTAGCTCTCATTCAGGCACTGAAATGAAAGTCAGATTAGCAAAACTGCTGAGCACCCACAGCTCCCATGTACGGCCAAGTTTTCAAATGAGCATGGCACAAAATGCTGTGAGGTCTTTTCAAACCAGAGCCTGATGGGCCCCTCAGAAGAAGGATTCTTCAAAATGGATATTTTATGCTTTTGAAAGCTTTTTCTGGGCAGAAGGGACTCTTAATGGTTTTCCCAAAGGAGCTACAGCACCACAAACCAAATCCAAAGAAGGGACATATAAAGCTTGCTCACAATTAGCTCCACAGATGAAATTCTGAGGAGACATATGGAAACGTTAAGGTTGCTCCTAATTTCTATATAACCAGGGGAAATAATGAGACCCAACTGACAATGACTTGCTCAAAGTGGCCATAGTTATCACTTAAACTGTTCAAATACCTTTAATAACTAAACTGTACAGACTACCAGCTGCCACGTCACTTGCCACACACGTCAAGCGTTCAAGCTTCCTTTTGCAGTGTTTCTGCAGCTTCATGCTCAAGAAGTGCTAATCAGAAGCAGTATCCCACAAACTTGCATTTTCATATCTGTGCTGCAGTCAAAATTCAAATAGTTATTCCTAGAATCAACCCCAGGTGAGGAGGGAACATACAAATTTG